TCAAAAGTTCTTGGAATCGTTGTTAACAGAAACTTGCAAAAAAATATATCATTTTATTCCTAAAATATAAGATATCACACAATGCACATTCATATAATATCATTGTGCTAGAAAAATACTAGGTAGGTACTGAGACAATTTAAAAAAAGTATTTCGAGAAACTCAACTTTTAATGACATCATTGTACTTAACTTTTTTATTGCTAAATTATTAATAATGTCATTTTGTGTAGTTCGTTGTGATTTGTATAATATATATTATAAAAACCTATCGTCAATGTTAATGTGCCAATTTTTTTTAATAATTATATCCTTGTTATAGTAAAAACACATTTAAACACATTTTTAAAGTTTTCTGGATTTCTGCTTTAAATTATCGTACAATTGAACTGACTAATTGTGTCTTTAAGTAAAAGTATATCTCTTTTTTGTTATAACAGTCTTTGTATATTGTTCTAACTTTTTAGATAATCATAGAAAATAGTAAGACATCTTAATATATCCTATTTCACCAACAAAAATGTAGAATAATTATTAATCTCACATCAAACGAAAAAAGTCATTTTAGGATGTCCTAATAGGTTTTAACTTAAAAACTAAATAAAAAGTATATTGCAACTGTCTTTAAATAAATGAATGTTTTTATACCTGATTATAGCACAAGAAAAACATTTTTTTATATCATAATGATCTGCATAACTCAAAATAGTCAAAATCCACATTATTTAAGTTGTTCTAGTATTGTTTTAGCATAACGATGTAAACTCCCATAATAAATATTCACATTTTTTTGGGACGTTTTTTAAGGAAATTAAAAAAAAACATGAATAATGTGATATTCTTGTTTAGTTTTGTATTATATAATATAGTTCATTAGGTAGTGATTTAGAAGCAAATTATGTTCTATTAATAGAATAAAAAATCACTCATAATATCTAAATATTTATACCTATTTATATTTTGGACAGGAAGACTATTTTGTTTTTGGCTCTGAATAGTTTTCTTAAGAATTTTAAAACCTTCCTTAGCTCTTTTGTGATATTCCATGCATATCTTAGAAGTTTATTTTGTTTAAACCCAAAAAAAAAATTAAGTACAAAAAATGAAAATTTAAACAATACACAAAATTAGTCTTTTAGATTAGTTAAAAAAAAGTGTCAACAAAAAAATGGCTATGCATTTTTCCTTAAACATTCTTTTTGAAAGAAACTTAAATTTTTCTACTTACTTGCTGTTTTAGTATTTTAGTAGCAGATGAATATAGTGTAGAAGTAGTGACAGGATTGATTATTATACTTCTTTCGTTGAAATTGCATTTTTTTTAAATATTTTTCTCCCCTGAAGTCTGTAAAAAAATGTTCACTAGCATTAAAAGTTATTCAGGTGGTCACTTGTTGAATTCCTATATTTTGGAAGCATGGATTTCTTTCTCATATCAAGAAAAGGAAACCTAAAAAAATTACAATAATCTTTACAAAGATGTGATATTAAAATAATAATAATAATAAATAATTAACCTTTACTATAATCATTATGAGACGGATGAAGACGAACTTAGCTGGAGTTTACTTGCTCTTAATTTTAATTTTTCGATAAGAAAATAAGAAAGTTTAATTGCAAATTAAAGGTGATTGCCCAATGCACCGCCTCTGATAATTAGGTTGTGTCTGTACTTACTTATGATATTATCTTGAAAAAGCATTTTCAACAGGCCTTTTACACATAAAGCATGTTTTCACCATATTATTAGAGATAATAAATCTTAAATATACATTTACAACCCTTACAACGTTATAAATAATAATATTTTCCGTAAAATACAAATAAGAAATTGACATGTGTCAGAAAGTGTCAGAATCCCGTCAGAACTGGCGCTGTCAAACTTGGCAACGCTGATGAAATAAACCAATTACAGAAGAGGTATTTTACCCCTCGGGGGGAGTAGATGTTGCTAACAAAATTTAGCGCGGGGAAGGGGGGAAGACTCCCTCTAGTAGTAATTGCTCGGAGATTGACAACTATTAATTTAATCTCAACGATTTTTAATGTGTTGATATTGCTTATTAAAGTTATTTAGTTTTCTTAAAGTGGGTCATTTTGTAGTGTATTGTGTTTTAATTATTTTGTGCTGATTTAGGATGGAAAATAAGGACAAATACAACATTATTACTACGTTGTAAGTTTAACTAAATTACATTTTCATAAGTCAACCTGCCCTTCTTTGATTTATACTTTTAATAATAATGTATATGTTGATTTTAAAACCAAAAAAGATTTATTTTTATTTTTCGCAACCGGTGACATAATAAATTTTTCGTAACCAGTTTCATAATGTTCAACATTATATACAATTTGTTGCGTAAAGTTAGACAAGATATAATTTTGACACTTATTGCTATTACAAAAAAATGTTACTTTATGTATCAAAATTATAAAAATACCTTTAAAATGATGTGAAACTTAACCCTGTTCCCATTTAGGACTGTATGGATAACATCTACCCTGTCTAGGGATTTGAACAAAGAGGGTTAAAACTATTTATTAAAAATGTTCCCCTTGAAAATAGCATTAACGTGTCTTTCCGGTTATTCATATTATTTACTTGTAGGAAAATAATAAGGGTGGGACGTTCTCAAATTAACACCCTGTACATGGAGATAACTACTTATCTCCATATTTTTAACTGACCTATTCTGATTTATTTACAGCACACGCGTTTATTCATATTACTGCCCAAATTAATTTTTACTGAGCTATTCATTTAAATAAATACTTTTCTTAATTTCCCATTTTTTTCTGCTCATATTTTATCGCCCAATTTGTTATTGAACATAAATTTGTAGTTTTCGCAATGACCGAAACTGTAATAACATATTACCGCTCGTATAAATGGTAGCTATATAATAATGATTAATCATTTTATTATGATTGATCGTTTTATTGCTTACAAATGCGTTTTTCGACGACCACTACAGAAAATTATAAATTCCGAATTGTTTTTTAAGGGTCAAAGTAGACAATTCCTTACACATTCATAATTAGTGTGGAAATATTATTCCACACGGTAATTCCACACTGTTTAGTGCATCGAATAAATTGTCGTATAACCTTTAGTATGAGTGAAAAAACACAATATTACATTTTAAGAACATATCTATTTAACTAAATATTTCGTCGAATACTACAAAATTCAGTAAATTTAGAAAAAAACTTAAAATAATTTATAATTTATGTAATGTTGGTTGCCTATATAAAGGGGATAATACAACAAAAATTTAAATCGAGTTACCGGATTTAAAATATTGACATTTCACATCTTGACATTTAATTTATTTTATTTCGATACTTTTGAAAACTATAAATAATAAAATGGATAGTGATAGTAATAGTAGTGATAATAATTATAATACTCCACCACATATTAAAGAAATAGCGAATAACATTACAGAATATTTATTGCCTCAAACATCGGCGAAAAAATACAACTTAGCTTATTCAAGATTTATGGATTGGCGACTACAAAATAAGGTGAACTCCTTTTCAGAAACTATTTTAATGGCTTATTTTGGGGAGCAATCGAAATCTTTTAAATCTTCTACATTATGGTCAATTTACTCGATGTTGAGAACTACATCGTCAATAAGGCAAAATGTAGATATTTCACGCTATCAAAAATTGCGCTCGTTTCTGAAAAGAAAGTCTGAAGGATATGTAGCAAAAAAGTCAAAAATACTTACACCTGAACATATCAACCAATTTTTAAATGAAGCTTCCGATGATGTTTATCTACTTATAAAGGTAAATACTTAATAATATGAGAGATTAATATTTTTTCATGTTAAATTTTATTTTATAGACAGCTCTGATTTTGGGAATAATGGGAGCATGTAGAAGAGAAGAATGAAAAAATTTAAAAATGTGTGACGTACATGACATGGACTCTGCTGTTTTAGTCAATATAACAAAGACAAAAACTAAAGTTCCTAGAAAGTTTACGGTTACTGGAGATTTTTATGCAATATTTAAAAAATATAACACTCTTCGTCCTTCAAATATACCTCACGATTATTTTTTTACGAATTATCAAAAGGGCAAGCGCACAGTGCAACCAGTAGGAATCAATAAATTTGGAAATATGGCACAACAAATTGCTGAATATTTAAAGTTACCAGATCACAAAAATTATACAAGCCACTGTTTTCGCCGTTCGTCCGCAACAATTCTAGTTAATTCTGGAGCAGATATAACAAAGCTTAAAAGACACGGCGGATGGAAGTCAACTACAACCTCGGAAGGATACATCGATGACAGTTTATCACATAAAATGGATATCGCAAATTCAATTCTACATTCTGTAGAAAATAGGAGTGAAGAACCTGAAGCTTCTACTAGCAGAATATCTATTTCAGAAACAACATATGAAAAAACCATCCAAGGTCATGATTTACCACCTCTTAATATTTCAAACTGTAATGTTGTTAATAATAATTTTTATAATAAATAAAATTGTAATTGAAATTTAAGAAAATTCAAATACGTTTATATAGTTTAGTGAATTATTAAACAAAATTAATAGTGGTAATAATTTGTTTTATTTTATTTGGGGCACAAACAGGAGAAACCGGGACGATGTCCACGAAAAATATGAAAAAGTAACTATGTTAAGTACACATTTAAAAAGTGATAACAATAATAAATATTTACCACCTCTTTATATTTCTAATTTTAAATCGTTAATAAAGATCATCCAATTATTAAAATATATTAATTTGTGTTTTAAGTCATTGTGGTCGTAGAAAAAGTATAGTGTGCCACTCGTGAGAAAACCAATTCCACACTCGTGCCACAAGTTTCACACATCGTGTGGAATTGGTTACTTTCTGCACTTGTTGCACAATATACTATTATTTATTTAATACATATATTTTTTTATATTATAATTACATATTAAATAAATTTTAATACATCTAGTTTTAAGAGAAGAAATTTATAGAAACTTACTGATAAATTAATGCCTGCCAAGGAAATAAATGCCAGAATATAAAACATTTTTGAAATAATGGATTATATTACACTGTGAATGAGAACTATACCTTTGAGTTTATGTACCTAGAAATTATTTCGTAACAATATTTCAAGTACCAAATATTTAAAGTCCAATGATAAAGAATTCCCAAAATATGTTTGCGTTAGTTTGGTTATTCAGAATCAGACTTGGCACTTTTAGGTGTAAAAGCCATCGCACATTATATTAAAACTGCACTCACACAGTAACTTTTTGGAACTGTCAATGTGAAAAACACATACAACTTTTCATATAAGAAGATATTATTTCCATATTTAAGACTACCGACTTATAATTTTTTTCTCATATGAGTAACTTTGTTTATGTATTTTTCAAAATGTCATGAAAAAGGAGTTAATATTGAAGTTAATGTTAAATGGATAATAAAACAATTTACAGTGTATGTAATATTCAAAACATTTAAGGATTTGATAAGTTACATATCTACGAATCAAGATAAAATTGATTACGCATATTCAGGCCAAACCGTTTTTAAAAACTGAAATTATCAAATGACATTTCATTTGAAATGACCTACTGTTCATAACAGCGTATATCGTCAGTATAAATCGGAAAATGCTTAACTCCGCTTTTTTCTGAAATGCGGATTACAACTCCATCTAGTACCAAAAAGGCAGATATACCATCTGAGAAATGCTTAATTTATTATTCATTTAAATTACATTATTTCTCATAAAAACGAATTCAGTTTTAATAAGTTCAAGGGTTCTAATTTAAATTAGTTTTTTTCTTCAGTAAAATGGAGTTACGCACTTTGCGATTTACACTGACGATATGTAAAAATAGAATTGCGTAGATACTTATCGGGCACTTAATTTTTTATTTTAAAGTTGGTATCGTCTAGTAAACGTCATATCTTATTGTATCATGGAAAAATACATTTTTTTATTAGATATTTTTATTTATTAGAAGAGGGAAGTGAGTTGTACGTGGGACCTAAAAAATAATTTCAGATTTCGATATAAATTCTTTTTATTTCTATTTTAATTAATAAATTGAAAACCTTGGTAAATCTGTCAAATACAAATTTAAAAAAAAAAATAAACATAAATATAATCAAAAATAGTACCTCTTATTTGAAATTGAGGTAATATAATTTGTATGTGACTAGTATCCTTATTAATAGATGTTTTAAAACGACCAATTGTGGCTTGCATCCTTTTTACACCAAGGGCTTTAATTGATCATTGCTGAGCTCTAGATATGTACTTTATTAAGCTGCAATTAAGGCATCATTAGTATCAAATCGTCGTCATTTCAATGGACTTATCCCGTTATACGCTAGTTCAGTGATGATGTAATTATGGTTCCACTGACAATTAAAGTGACAGTAAATTTTTTAAGTGCGTTTTGTTCGTTTTGTTTACCTAAATTATATCGTTTTTAACACGCTTTTATTAGCTTCACATGTATGTATATATGTATGTATGTTTCTCCTTTGGACTATAAAAGCAAATGGCTTATCACTGTCAGTATATCCCACTACCTCAAGTTCGTTCGTTGGCCGAGCGGTCCAAGGCGCGGGTCTGTCGATCGTCAGACTCACCAATCGTGGGTTTTAATCCCTCCCGTCCACGGCTGAAAAAAAATAATACAATTTTTTTTTTAATTATTAATCGAACTAAAAAGTAAAAAATAAATATAGTTTAAAAAAACTAAAAACACGCTTTTATAATACATCGAACTAAAAAGTGAAAAATAAATATAGTTTAAAAAAACTAAAAAAACACGCTCTTAGAGCATATCAAACTAAAAAGTTAAAAATAATTTTTCAAATAAGCTTAAAACAATAATAAATGGAAAATACTAGTATTATTATGAAAAATATTTAATTCTTGTATTGTTTTTAAATTATTATATCCTTTGCGTTAATTGTATGTTTATTCAAGAATCTTAGATATAAAACATTCTTATCACACAAGTTCTATCTAGACAAATTGAAGACCTTGGCGTAATAAGGTTACATGCCACATTAGGTAAGTTTTGAGAAAATATTTAAATATAAATATTACGAAAAATAGCGCCATCTTTTGGATTAGAGGTAAAACTAATATGTATGTGGCTAGTATCTATGAAAACTAGAGATAAGGAGACGAATCGGCATACTCAAAATACGGTCCCAAAAAACGAATGCTATACTCAAAATACGGTCCCAAAAAACGCATGCTAATTGAGCTTCTATAATTAACCGCATGTGCGCTGGTACTGCATACGTTGTTCAAAATACATGGCTTCTTATGGGAATTATACATCATTTTGTCAAAATAATAAAAATAAACTTATTTACAGCTAAATAAGGCACAGAACATACTGTTTTTTTTTTTTTAATTTGGTGTCATCGGCATCGACTACTAAGACCATTAGCCTCGTGTTCTGTGTAGGCTTTGTTACTGTTTCTCAGCGCCACTTTAAAAACAGCACTGTTAATTAGAACTTAACAGTGAATGGTCGAGTGGGGAATCCTACCAAGGCATCAGAATTAATTTTAAATAATTAAATTAAATAAAAAAATAAGTCTTGCAAAACATGCTATTTATATAAAATACAAATTAGGTTAGGTTAGGTATGTATGACCAAATTCGAAAAGGTTTCTTAATTGCTGAGCTTTAATAAGTACAATTTTGTGGCAATTTTTTTTTTTTAATTGAACCAATATATAGTTTTAAGAGTAAAATAAAACACAGTTAACAGATTTTTTACTTTCCTATCTGTATACAGATATAAGGAAAGTATAGGAATCATTATTTTTTTCGACCTCCAGTTTTCGACGGATTTTCACGTTTTGGGGTCCCCTGAATCCGTTTTGACTATGATGTCTGTCTGTGTGCGTGCGTGCTTGTTTTTTCTCGAAAAAAAAGGGAAAGTGTTGGATTTAAGAGAAAACCACTCGTTTTACGAGCAATTTTCTAAGCGCAAAAAATGCGTAGTTTTCGGTTATATTTCGAATGTCATAGGTGGCATTGTAAATCTGCAATAGTTCGCGAAAACGTGGCCAATTTTTTTTAGAAATGTTTTCCCAATTATTTCTCTTTCTTTGAATGAATCGACAAGTCGTTGTTCGACTCAACTAAATTTCTCACCATTTAAAAGAACACAGTGATAGAATTTTCTTAATTTAGGAACGTACTTATTCAATAAATTGCTGAAGAAGTCTGAAAAACCACGTGTACACAGAGCTTGCTGAATACGGTTATTACAAATCTTTGCCGATGAACACTATCAAGCGATTCAATTTGTAATAATATGACTGTTTGAAGTTTAAACTTGTCGGATAGCGAACGCCAAGACCATGGCTATCCTTGATGCGACGCGTGCGGCTAATTTTGCGGTAATTCTATATTTTGCACAAAACTCAAGAAACGTCTTATAACAAGTCAGTAAAATACAATTTAATAAATTTTAAGCCTAATAAATTTAGGTATGTAAGAAATTTAAAACTGGAAATCGCAAAAAAATCAAATTACAGAAATGCAGTGTATACAAGAATTTTGAATCCCGCGGAGCGCGTGTAATGGGACTTTTGTCAGGAGAATTCTACAACTTAGAAGAAATATACACACTTTAAACTTTGTATACACATTCAGAAGACATGAAATTTGGGTTTCCTCAATTTTCAGACCAAAAAACTGAAAATCGTCAATTTTAGGCAACTTTTCTCAAAAACCGTGTTTTTTGGTCGTCACTCAATGAACAGTGGTCAAAAAAATAGATAAAATATTTTTGCAGAATTTTTCGTTATGTAATCGTATTCTAGACACAATAAAGTACTTAAAAAAAAGTTTTGAGCCATTGGGAGCATTTTTGGCATTTTTGTGCCACCTCAAACTTTCGAAAAAAAATTTAGGTTTCTTTAGGAAAAAAAATTTGTTTAATTGGCCAATTATAGTCCGATTTCGGTGAAATTTACACACACATAAGATTTTACATTCAAGAGTAAGTTCTGTAAGTGGCATTAAATTTTTTTAAATAGTTTGGCCGTTATAGGCAAACAATGAAATTAGGCCCGCGGTACACTTTGCCCTTCCGCCATATGCCCAATTTTGGGATTTTTCTTGCCCTTTTTGGAAATCAATAGTCACATCCCTTAAGTTCAAAACACATTTTTGTTTTTTCAAATATCTTAATTTTTACCAAAGTTATGAAGAATTTAGTGTTTGAACATTTAACAAATTTCAATCGTCAATACCGCGAGAATGGTGCATCGGATCAAAATTTCTCAAGAGACATGAAAATTAGCATTTTTCCTAAATTTTTAAATGTCGTAAACTGCGTTTTGAAAATATTGATTTATTGCCGACATGCGCCTGCGCAAAATTGAAAAATTGACAAAATCCAAAATTTCGGCACTTTCGAAAAAGAGCCACATTTTGTTTTGCCTTTTTTTTAAAAGATCACCTCAAAATACATAGAATCCATTTTGTTTCATCTAATTACAATTTAATGTAAGCTCAAAACCCGTAATTTAATTCGATTTTAATGAATTAAGTTTTAATAAAATACAATTCTAATATAACAAAAATGTTATTATCTTAAGTTTATCTAATGAAACTGGTTCAAAAATTTAATCTAGTAATTGAAAAAAAAAATATATCTATGCATTATATTTAAAACAATTATTATAATGTCACAAAAATCACATTATTATGTACGTGTATTATCTTTGGTTAAAATAATATCATACCAACAGCGGGTTGCAGGAACATTCATTAAAATTTAGTAGCCTGATAAACGTTGAAAGATGTTTTGAATGAATAATTTAAAGTTCACGTCACTAAGACATATCATAATTCAAAATTTTTAATGGATATTCTTGCAACCGGCTTATTGTATAGTAAATAATTTATTTAACTAAATAATAAATATAACTTCTAATAAATTTTCTAAATCAACAAAATTTTAATAAAAACAAAACAAAACTTCTGTTTCTTTAATACCACACATGAAAGAGAACCATCCACATAACCTGAAACAAAAAAAAAATTAAACGCAGTAACTTAATATCATTTTGGTTTTCTTTTTTGCCTTTTAGACATTGCCAAAGCCTTCATACTATCATTGTAATATTTTCTAATTACTAACGGTACACAGGTTTTGACTAAATGAGAAAAGATATCTGTTTTATTTTCTTGACACGTAAACCATTCAAAATCAACATGGTCTTTCAAAAAAAATTCAATTTTCTGAATTATATTTTCAATATGGCCCAAAAGTGGCAAAACTGTATAAATAATTTCATGAATCTTTGAAATAAATTCTATTACATTTCTTTGTACATAAATCAGACGTCTTTTATCATCATTTTCTTTAAAATAAGTAAAAGTATGATGGTCCTCTAAAATATGTGTTTGCAAATTAGCCAGACATTCTTTACAGTCAAAACTATTGATTTTCTTAACAACAAACCCTGCGACATAGCTAGTGGCCTGACTCTCAAATTCTGAATGAATTAAAAATTCTGTATTAGAAAAGGTTAAATTTAAATTTTCTAGCTCATTATTATCATTACATATTAATTCTTTTGGTTCTGTAGAAACATATAAAAATGAATTTAAATTATCTAAAATGCTTGTTTCATCAGCTTCACAATTGGAGTTGAAATTCCTTGGTGAAATTAAACTATTTAAAATTGATGTTTTTAAAGCTGAAATGAATTGGTAACAATTTGGAGCCGTATTGGCTGCACCATACTGTCGAATTGTGCCAAACATATTCTCAACCGGATCTTGATTTAAAGCACGGGTTCTGATGAATTTAAATCCATTTTTCCAACATTCATTCATAAGTAGTTTAACACCCCTAATTGTAATTAACCAACCGGTCTTAAAAGGCATCACCTTTCTCATAGGTTTACCATTTTTTGGTAAAAACTGCCAAGATTCTATTTTTGGCAACATAGAATTCCAAAATTCTAGATGTTTAGATCTCTTTGAAGAACACAGCCTAAGAGATTTACCACCAACGACACTTGGGTTATTACCATTAAGGCTGGCAAACAGCTTATCAATGTCTTCAATAAAGTCGGCAGTATAGATAGCCTCAGATGGTAATTTATTAGGCACTATTAGACTTTCGATGGTAGCAGCCATGGTGTGACTCATTACTTTTGCAGCAGCTGAAACTTTCATTTTTAATTTACTATTTCTATTGATATCCAAAAAAAGATTCTCTAACTTTATGTAAGGCCTGAAATTTTTTAGTCCTATCAGGATAAAAAGCTTGTTTAATATAATTAAATTTAGCACATCCACAATTATTTTCAAAATAAATATCATAAATAAAGCATTTCTTGAACATTTCAAAAGGTGGGGAGAATCATATAAAGTAATTATCCTTTTTCTATTAACAAAAAAATAAGGACCAGGTTTTTGAACATTATTATCTGCTCGTACTTGTTTCAGTGTTGTTCGGTTTGTATTCCCCATCACAAACAGTTGCCATAACATTTAATCCTACTTTCTGTAACTCTAAAATGACTTCTACAAAAATTAGTTTCAAATCTTCAGTTTTAACCTGATCTTTAGTGAAGTAATAAGCCACTGGCTGCTTCCATGCTTTTCGTAAGCCATTAATCACAAAGGCCAATGCATGATCAGCCGTTTGTAATTTTCTTCCCAAATTTTTACCAAGGTGTACGAACCCTACTATATACTTTATCTAGCTACATCCAAAGTTAATTGTTCTGTAATAGTATATTACATTACGAGTGTGGAAAGTGACATTTTTCACACGAGTGGGAAATATTGTCGCACGAGGCACAAGCCGAGTGCGACTATCACACGAGTGTGGAAAATCACTTTTCACACAAGTGATGTACAATATTTTTCCTACGACCACAAAATATTTTCATCAAAAAATGTAAAACCAGGTTATTATATTAATTAAAATGTATTTAAAAAAATAATCAACAACAATCGTATTTATTGAATTTTCATATTTTTTAAACAAAAAAAAAAAAAATTAAAGAAACAAAAAAAAGTTCTGGCCCCGGCAGGATTCGAACGCGGTCGTTCGCCAGGTCTCTCAAATGACAAATTTGATAGTTTGATGCTCTAACCAACTGAGCTAACAGGCCTTTCGTCAATTGAGTGATCTAATCGATTATATATTTAACCAGAATAAAAAGCAAACATAATCTTAGTTATTTTAAAATTATTTTAATAATAATTTTTAAAGATAAATATCTAGGATCTAATTTACAACAATTTCAATAATTTAACAATCATATCGATTTTAGTATTAATATGGACATTACATAGATCAAAATAGAAATTAGGTGTTTGACATTTTGTAACAACTACTGCGGAAAGTAACATATTCTCACTCGGGTGGAAAGTAAATTCTTATTCATACGCGTGTGATATAGGGCACTTTCCACAGGACTTTATAGTGTGATATGTGTCACTTTCCTAAGTGGTCGTAGGAAAAAGCTATTTCGTCAAACAGTAACACACAGTTCCTATCAATTTGCTTCATTTTAGCAACCCTCTCCTTGAGCCTATTAAAAATTGATTTATTAATGCCTGTTTCAAATGGCACTGATCTTAAAAGTGACTGCAAAGTGGTTTTACTAGGTAAAGCAATGAAACGTTTTAAAAAATTATAAGCTCTGGGGCCCTTTTTATATAAAGCTAATGACATGACTTTATCAGATGTTGACCAAGAAGGCTATATCTTTTTTGAATTAGATGTAGTACTTTTAAAAAAGCTCATGCCTACAGGATTGAGCTTTGAATTAAATTCTTGAAAAATCTTTGACTCTGAAATTTTGACTGCATTTTTAACTTTACGTTTTGAATTAATTAGGGCCTTCTTTAATTTGCAAATGTTACTTTTCTGTTTTCTATTAATAAAATAAAGTTTATTCTTCCTAGGAGATAAACTATTGACTCGAGTTTCATTAATTTGATTTAAAAATCCATTATCTAATCGTTGCTTTTTAGGCAGCAATTCTATTTCATTGGATGAAAAACTATCATTGACATTTTGATTATTAAAATTTAACTTTCTTTTTACAGGTAATTTATTTGGTGGTGTGACAACAATATTACTTAGTAATACTATCTTTGGTGTTAATTGAAGTTTTAAGGGTGCCAATGACAAAGCAGATCGAATGAGTCTTGTACGATTAGTGTTTGTAAACGATTTTTGATCAAAATGATCTTCACACAATCTATAATGATTTTTTGCAAGTGGAATGTTTAATATGTGGCACCATTTTTTTCTTTGCTCAAAATCTGAAATAAATTTAAAAGTGTTTGTTCTTAAAATTTACATCATAAATGGGCCAGTAAAATTTACTATTGCAGTTTGATATTATGCATTTATTATGAATAGGGCCTGGTAAAGACATGTTAAAGCATCAAAATACTTTTGCTTAATTTTAAATATTCCTAAATTAACTTATGCCTAAAACTTAAAACTAAAATTAAATAAATAAAACTACTCACATGTTTTATTCGGCAACCATAACCATATTGTTTGTTTTTATTGCATCGGGATTGGGAGGCAACTTCAAAGCCAAATTTACATTGCACAAATAATTGAATAAATTCAAGTTTTTTTAAATAATTGTATTAATATATAATTATATAATTTTAAACAATAATTTTCGCGTGTTATTTTTGTTTCTAAACGAACTGTTATTGAATTATTAAATTATTCAGTGTACTTTAAATTTAAATATCATTTTGTTATTATAAAACGGATTAGCCCCCCTGGCCTATGTTAAACAGTGCCCGTAACTTATCTATATTTCATTTATTTATCTGAGATCGTAGCCAACCCAACAGTTGCAAAGCAAGGATAAGAGAGAGATTAAAAATAAATTGGATGGAAAATTATTAAAAGTCCCGCTCTTTTTTCGCGTCTAATTAATGCGAAAGTGTCGAATAAAGGGAAAGGTAGATTGATCATTGACTTTCGGAATTAAATAAATATCCCAGAGAGCAAAATCTTTGGAAACTCTAACTCCATTGGCACTCAGTTTATGTTCGTCGTTGGGACTAACATTCGTGACACATTTCAAAACATTGTCCATATTAAGCGTAATACTTATTCTACTCTTAAACAAAATATAATATTTATTTTATTAGATATTTTATTGCAAATAAAAAGTCTTATATAGCACATTAATTTATTTCAAAATAATAAAAATATTTATACATTAATATAGAAAATAACACAAAATTGCCGCTAAATATGATTCTGATCCATGCTGATGCCTTTCAAATTTTTGCGTTAACTTCTTGAAATAATCCTTAACAAAGGGTTTATGGTACCCATCCAATAACACCCATTAACTGGTCTTTCCACGTCTTGATATCTGGATCATCACCAACTTGGATAAGCGCAAGTTCATGAGAATATTCTTGATTCATTATTTTCCTTATTTTAGGATTCTCACTGATATTGGTTAAAGCCTGTAATAGAAAATTGGTATAAAAATTTAATTGAATAGAAAAGTTTAAAGTTTTGCTCCAAGTAGGTACCACAAAAATATTTTTTTCTATTCTGCCTGTTCATGTTTTAAAAAAATGTTGACTTTCTGCATTGAGACAGATGTGAAATCAATTGAACATTCAAAATGCATACCTACCTTTATAGAAAACATTTGAGTAGAAGGATTAAGTCTATTTTGAGCTAGCGCCATTAGTCTAGGAACCATTGTTGGGTGTTCTGCAGCCATAAGTTTTCCTGTAGCTTTAACTGTGCTAAACATAATTACAGACGCGGCATTTGTGTGAACCTCAGGTCGCTGAAAATATAATAAACTAATCAAATACATTATTTATGATTAACTGAAGTTTTCTAAAACTCTAATCAACATGTTATTAGTTGTATTTCTATATTATTATTACCTCATCATGTAAAAGTGTGTTTAAAATATTCATTAAGTTTTTCTCTCTAGCCAATTTTTCTCCAACACAAGTCGAAGTCAACTGAGCGATGCAAGAAAGCGCTTCACTAATAATATGGGTATTTTCATCTCTTAAAAATTCCAACTAAAACAAAATAATTAATATAAAAACTAAAGTTATTCGGACTTCGGTTGTTTTATATTTGGTTTATGCTTTCATAATACGAGTAGCTTACTGATTAGCACTGAACGTTGAGTTGAACATGATGATGGCGTGACTATTAGTACTATGTATGGGTGGTAAGGCACTTTTATGAATATTTCGAATGTTCTATCATCAGACTCTTCATAGTCAATTAGAGATTCTTCTCGAACTAACTGATGTAACCTGAAGAGCCCCAAATAGCGCGAAACCGGTCGTAGAACGGTTGTTTCTATATTCATATGTAGGTGAAGTCTGGCTTAATGCTTGCCAGCCAACCATTTGATTTTTTCTTTGACTGTTGGAATTCCAAGATCTCGATGAAGATCTTCATTGCGCACATACCAAGGAACGTTCACTATGTTGCGAAATATTTTGTTCTGAAAGGTTTGGATAGACCTACTGTTGCTATTTCTGGCACATGCCCGTAATTGAATGCCGTAAAGCCACACCGGTCTTATAACCTGGTTTAATGTACTGACAGTCTTGAGTTCCTGTTCAAGAGCTAGTAGTACCGTTTATATTTTAATCTCAATTCAGTTATTTTCTTTTTAACATGTACTTTCGATCGTAACTTCATCGCATCGCATCAAGGGTCATTAGGGTTGCCACCTTTTTAAAAAGTGCGAAAAGGACTATGGGCCATTCGCACGGGTACCACATAAAAGTATTCGTTAACTAAGCTTTAGATAAATTTAACGTGAAGTTTATAATATGATGGTTCGCACCAACAGCTTTTAATCAACGCTTTATTTAACGAAAAAAATACTTGGCAACTATGAGATTTTCTTCTTTTTTTATCACGGCCCACGTATAAGATTGCTTTTCAGATATTTAGATTTATGGTTTTTTGCTATAAATGATTTCTAAATAATTTTTTTTTGTCTTTATTTATCGATTTTTCCGTTTCTATTGTTTTTACCATAAAATATATTTACTAAACAACTGGTTTTTTGGTTATTTCAAGAGTTATTAGTAAGAAAAAAAGTTATAAAAAAATATTAAAAATTATATTTTTATTGAAGAATTATACAAATCTATTATCATGGGCTTCAAAGTAATCTATTAACTCATTTCTGAGGTTGATGGCAACATAATCATGTAGGGGTGGGTGGTAGGTCAGGGTCTCTAAATTGTTCAAGAACTTGAAGAAAATTGATCTCATTTTCAAAGTAGTACTTCTACATATATTACTCAAGGGTACTCCTTGTTCTTTAATAGGATTCAGTAAAAAAAATCGAATAAACTCACAAAGAGTCATTCCATACAAAATCGTCTGAAAATAAAAAAAATTGTTGCCGATCCATTTTAGATTTTGGTGTAACTTTGAGGAACTATTCCTTAGGGTTCCAAAGAAGAAAATTTACACGAGTTTAATTTTTATAAGCACTCCTTTTCACCTATTTAAATAAAGACTTTAAAAAATCGATATTTTTTTATTTTATAATCTTATAAATTCAGTTTTTCTTGATGTTTTTTCATGAAGATATATAAGAATCCTATACATAGGTCGAAATTTTTTCAAAATAGAAGCATCTAGTTATTTGGAAAGAAATAAAAAATTGAGTTGATTTTTGCTGTAAAAAAAACGACTCTTACATGCACTAAACATAAAAATAACAAAACAAGTGGTACGGTCATTTAAAGTTAAAGGTAAGATCAGTAGATTTTGAGAGTTTCAGATTTTTATCTGGCAGTCAACACGTTCATTATATAACCTGAATAATGCAATTTTTGAAAATTTCAAAACTTTCTGCAAAGGGTGGGCTCCTCAGGTTGACTTGTGGCTGTATGTTATCTATGATATATACACTTAATTTCTGAGGAACATAAGCTGCTAAGTCTAAGCAGTTAAGACGCTAGAGTCGATTGAAATTCACAAAAAATTATCAAAAAACACTCATTTTCAGCACGCTGCCGTTAATCAGAGGTATTGACTGAGCAAATTATCGATGCCTACACTTAAACTACTATCTTTCCACCTCAGAATTCCGCTTTAATAATGTAGTTTTCTTCAAAAAGAAAAATTTCAGAGGAAAAGTCGCTAAGGCTTAAAAATGTCGATTTTTTAAAGTCTTTATTTAACTAGGCGGAAACGAGTGCTTATAAAAATCAAACTCGTGTAAATTATCTTCTTTGAGACCCTAAAGAATAGTTCTTCAAAGTTACACCAAAATCTAAGATGGGTCAGTTTTGCCAATTAGACGATTTTAAATGGAATGACTCAAAATGTATACCATTGTAGGATTTAATACAAACATATTATATGGACATTTCAAATTATTCTCTATTTGCGATAATAATTCCAAAACAGCCTCTTTTGATAACCGAAATCTTAGAAAAAAAAAGGTCTGTAGATCGAAACTATCAAAATATTAGCTTCTCGTATACACTCGCGGTATTCCATTTAATATTAATTCAACAGCTTCCAATTCATCATCGTCATTATCCCTTAACAGTAAATCCATTTTAATTTGGACACCACACCAAATTTAAAAAAAAATAATGGCTCTTTTCACGTAATTATCAATTTGACAAATCTGTCACATACTGTCAATTTTCTTTCGTTAAAATCTTAAACCTCAAATATTTACAGTTTAGGTAAACTTATAATAACTACTACTTAACGAAAAGAAAAATGACGGTGCGAATGAAAATGTCATTCAATGTCAATTTAACCTCAGCTTATCGCTTAACGAATAGTGGTGCGAATGGCCCTATGATGCTCATGTTATGTTATGTTGAGAATGGGGTGTTAATACACTGCGACCTAGAAGATCTATTGTGCCTCCTTCTGTCGCCACTGCACTAAGGAAATGTCTCAATGCCTATAGCGATCCCTCCAATCCTATTTCCTCAAGGAAGTGTAGGATTTGAAGTGGCTTCAAGTTAGGCAAATCTCCGTCTTCTATTTAATATCCTCCTAGATATAGTGCCCTTGGATTCTGGAGTGCTACACATTCAGTTAGGATGTGAATGGAGGTTTCGTCCTCCTCCTCCTCACAGAATCTGCACTCACTATCCTCTACTACCCTCAGTTTACTTAGGTGTCCTTTTAGTCGGCAATGCACGGTAAGGATCCCTGTTACAATACGTAGCCTGTTCTTGCTCAGGCAGATGCAGGCTTCCGATCTTTTCTGGTTATATTCACCCAGAAGTATCTTGGCCTGTCTCAGCCCCAAGAGATTGTTCCAATTATCGGTTCTTCTACTGCCCAATTCTTTTTTAATCTCTCCTAATATTATGTTACTGCTGATACCGCAGAACGGCTCAGGTCCTACAAAGGGTGTTTGAGCCCCTTTACTTGCAAGACTATCTGCAATTTCGTTACCCTATACACCGTTATGTCCCGGGATCCAAGTGAGAGTAACTCTATTTTTCTCGCCTAGCTCATTCAATTGTTCTAGGCATCTCCAGACCATTTTTGAGCTGATTACTTAAGAGCTCAGCGCTTTGATGGCTGCTTGACTATCGGACATGATGATAATCTCTTGTCTATGATAGTTTCTCTCGATGTTAAACTGGATACACTTCTCGATTGCGTGAATTTCCGCCTGGAAGATGCTTGGGTATTTTCCCAAGCTTTCGGAGTGCTTGGTTCTCGGCCCATACACTCCTATTTCAGTTCCTTCTATGGTTTTGGAACCGTCCGTATACCACTGAATAGCACGTCTTTCGGTTGCAAGCGCGATGGATTCTTGGCTCCATTCTTTCTTGCAGCCCAGCTCTGTGGTTTTGAAGTTTTTCACAAAACTGTACTTCTTTTGCATTTCATCCTGGGGCATGTCCCAGGTATCTTTAGTCCTGAAGCAAGTAGACTTTCGTCTGTACTCCGTTCCTGACCATTCTATATCGTGTCCTTTTTGCCACATTCTCTATCATCAAATGTAGAGAGGTGAGGTTTAAGATCACCTCCATTGCGGCCGTAGGATAGGTTCTCATTGCACCAGTAATGCAAACACAGGCTAGTCTTTGTACTTTACTCCAGGCTATAGCCCTGTAAGTGATGATTGGTCTCACTATTGCAGTATACATCCATCGCAGTATATTTGGGTTACATCCCCATCGTTTACCTGCAATGTTTCTACATACCATTATGGCTTTTGTGGCCTTATTTACTACTTCCTTCTTATGTGTGTTCCAGAGAAGTTTGTTGTCCAGGGTTAGGCCTAGATATTTGACTTCATTTTTCCATTCTATATCTATCCCGTCTAATTTAACGGTTTTGAAAAGGCTACTAGTGTTGTTTTTGTAGGGTTTATACTAAGTCCCACTTCAAGACACCATCTTTTGGTATGTTCTAGTCCTCGTTGGACTATATCACACAGGATATTACTAAACTTGCCACATAGCAAATATGACTATGTCGTCGGCATAACCTTGACAGTGTATGCCGAGGTCAGTCAATCTGCATAGAAGTTTGTCTACGATTAGGCTCCACATTAGTGGGGATAGAACTCCTTCTTGTGGACATCCTCTGGTTGTGCAGATGGATATGGTGTCCTGCCCTATCTATGTCTCTGCAGTTCTCGTAGATAACAGCTGAGCCATCCATCTAGATGTGATGTTATCTACTCCTCTACTCCTATGATGCTGATAGGGGATCCCGTATACAAAAGGTTCTCGTCCCAAAAAGTTATCGAGTTTCATAAAAAAAAATGTTCTCACCTTGTCTATTTTTGTACAAGCCTGGTACAGGACATATGCCGTTTTAGAAAAGGACATTTTAAGCTTTAAAAAGTCGCAAGGACATTTTGCTTGAAAAAAGGACTGTCTATTTTAAAAAACAGGTGGTAACCCTAAGGATCATGTCAAGGTACTTTGCATTTAGCTCATGAGGTACAGCCTTTTCGTTGATATTTAGAGAGTTAGGTCCTGCTACTTTTTTTATTAGTGAAGTTCACATGAATAGACTTCATTGAGCCTAATTCCCCATTGATTGGTCCATCTAACTGGAAAATTGCTAGCAGTTTGGAGTTGTCTTACTGATCTTTCTTGATCCTGAGCAACTGAAAGGAGACCAGTATCATCAGCGAATGTAGCTACAGTTATATCTTCCAGAGTTGGCAAGTCACTATTGTGATATTAAAAATTATATTTTAATTGAAGAATTATACAAATCTATTATCATGGGCTTCAAAGTAATCTATTAACTCATTTCTGAGGTTGATGTCAACATAATCATGTAGGGGTGGTAGGTCAGGGTCTCTAAATTGTTCAAGAACTTGAAGAAAATTGATCTCATTTTCAAAGTAGTATTTCTACATATATTACTCAAGGGTGCTTCTTGTTCTTTAATAGGATTCATTAAAAAAAAATCGAATTAACTCACAAAATGTATACCAATATTGTAGGATTTGATACAAACATATTATATGGAAATTTAAAATGATTCTCTATTTGCGATAATAATTCCAAAACAGCCTCTTTTGATAACCGAAATCTTAGAAAAAAGGTCTGTGGATCGAAACTATCAAAATATTAGCTTCTCGTATACACTCTTCGCGGTATTTCATTTAATATTAATTCAACAGCTTTCAATTCATCATCGTCATCATCCCTTAACAGTAAATCCATTTTAATTTGGACACCACACCAAATTTTAAAAAAATAATGGCTCTTTTCACGTAATTATCAATTTGACAAATCTGTCACATACTGTCAATTTTCTTTCGTTAAAATCTTAAACCTCAAATATTTACAGTTATAACGAAAAGAAAAATGACGGTGCGAATGAAAATGTCATTCAATGTCAATTTAACCTCAGCTTATCGCTTAACGAATAGTGGTGCGAATGGCCCTTAGATAGGCTTCTTCCTTAATAGTGTGTCTGGGTGGATAGTAGACTGCACCAATGCTTAATTTCTGTTTTATAGGCTTAATGCCTCCCACTGTAAGTTGAATATCTACCCGCTGTAACATTCTTCAAATGATTAATTGATTCCTTAATTATAACGACACCACCACCTTTGCCTTGATCGTCTGAATAAATAGTATGCTAAATTTTATTACCTGTTATCTTAACACAAGACTGACTTATCATATTTGTCTTAAATATGAGACATATGTCTATAGTTTGGTCATATTTTTTGTTGAGGCCATAGATATTCCATGTAACGATTTTTAGATCTTTAAAAGTCATAAAATCTACTTTTTGGGTATAGCTCTAGTACTTCATGCTTCTAATGTGTCGAGTCTTTCATGATAGTCTATAAGTTGCAATGTAATGTTATGAAAATAGTTGAATATCTGAGTTTAGGAAAGTTTATAACCATTCCGTTACACCATTGTTCACGAAGAATGCTCATTTAATTATTTGTGTTTGCTATATGTACTTTAGGTACCTTTATTTTGTTTTTTTATGTACAGATACGAAAATCTAAACGCGGACTCTTTATTTTACAATGAATTGGACAATGTATAATAGGATCACGCGTAAAACAAATAAATACTGCTAAGCAGAGCATTACCTATTCCGTGGCCTGGCGCAGAGTACCTACGTACAACTTCAACCTCACTTCTACTTACGCTGGTTCCTAATAGATTTGGCGTATATGATGGTCCGCATTTAAATTTCCGAATCTGCATAAACCTTACCAATATATCGAATCCGCCATTGTCAATAGCAAACATTTTCCCTTGTATGGAGTACATCAATGATTGCAAAGTTCTTAGATGAATCAATATTATATATTTTTCTTCTTTATCTTGAAGAATATGCAACAATATAGATATAAATCCAAATTCAATCAATTCATCAGCCACTAAAAAACAAATTAATTTGGTAGGTATCTGTATCTGTAACGTGTGGAGGGTGGGTTACCCCATAGCACTTATGCCTCATTAGGCCCATTTTGCATCCTCCTTAGATGATAGACACCTCCTAGCTCGTGAGGCAGCCTACAGATTTAATGTAGGTGACAACGTCGCCAAGAGGTGCTTCTCTTATATCGGCCGATACTCGCCGAGCACAAATCTTCTAATAAATGAGAGCGTCGAACAATCGTAAAGGATATGCTCGATGGTCTCATCTTCTTGTTCGCACCCTCTGCAGAATGCGGATTCTGGCAGCCCCATGTTATGGAGATACTTTCGTAGTTGGCAATGACCAGTCAGAATGCCTGTGACTAGGCACAGATTCTGTCTAGTCATAGTCAAGTATTTGTTTGCTGCAGTGTTGTCGGGATAACTTAAGAGATCCCTGGCAACTCTACAGTTTCTTGTTTCATCCCATCTTTCCTTGAATTTCACAAGGGAATGTTCTTTGATTAGGTCTGTCACTACCGATTTTGTCAGGCAAATAGAAGGGCCAAGTCCAAAAACTATTTGGTTACCTGCTTTCTTGGCTAGTGAATCAGCAAGACGGGTACCTGACGTGGCGTGACATTTAATCCATCTTAAAGTGACCATATTGTTGATTGGATACCTCAACCAAAGTTTTGTGACATTCTAGTACTAACCCTGAATAAATTCGTGGTCTGTTCAGGGTGAGTAGTGTTTGTCTGCTATCTGTATAGATGAGCATGTTCCTTCCAGTGATATTGTTTCTGGTTATTTCTTTTGCTGCTATGAGAATCCTCGTTAGCTCTGTTTGAACTACACTGGCACTATTGCTCACAGCCCATTTTATGTTTAGATTTAAGAATCTGGAGTATATTCCACATCCTAAGCCTTGTTTTGTTTTAGAACCGTCGGTGTAGATATGAATCGTACCTGCCACTTCCGGCTCTTCTATTTGTTCTATTATAACTTTATATGGCTTGTGAAAGATATATTTCGGAATTTGGTAGGTATCTACCTATTTTAAAATTAAAAATCTACTAATTAAATCGTACTTTTTCATTTTTATTAAAAAGTGTTATTGCTCCTTTTTCATGATTGAAAATACCAAATTTCAAGGTTTTTAAACTCTATGGAAAATAAAACAAAAATCTATTTAAAACATGTTTCCCAACGAATTCGTTACTATTTGAATTACTGGACATTATTTCACCACAGTGTTTTTGCAATAAGCAAAAAACCATTTCCATTATTCAGAAATTACGATTTTTAAGCAAAAACAATTTATTTCAAAAACTGGAGAAGAAATGTTTTCTTAAAACACCCGTACTGAATTACTTCATATTTAGTCTTAGATAATGTGTAAAGGAAATTTGTATTTATATTTATAGTAGCTTGAAAAAATAAAATGAAAAACCAAGATTAAAAAAGATAAGATAATTTTCATTAACAATTAAGGCAGCCGTCTAATTTATCACCTCAAAAACGTAACCCTACAGAATTTCAAGTGAATACGTTAAAAAATTACCCAAATTTAGCAAAAATATAAAAACACCCTGTATTTCAGTAGTAAATAACATTTAGCCAAATGTTATTTAGGTAATAACATATTAATATTTTGAGGTTCAGAACATATGATTTAAATATTGTCCATTACTTATGAAACACCATGTATATATGTTTCATTCTCTTAGATCCTCTTCTACCTGTCAAATCAGTACCTAATTATAATTATTGTTCCTACTTTATTTTACCTTTCCAAAATTCTGAAACGGTTTGCAGTAATTTCGCAATATGCAATCTAACTTCTTCATATTGATCTTCTACACAAACTGAAATATTACGTAACAATTCCTTATTTGCGGCAATCATCTCTCTTGCTTTAGTAAGTTTGGCTAAACTCCATAATGCCATCGCAGTTCTTTCTCGAATAACAGGGTTCTCGGCCATCAGTAAATTCACCATTCTGTGATGAAATCAGTAATATTACTATCGCATAGAAAAATAATACAATTATTTTACTCAAATATTAACATAAATAAAACCAAGTTCTTCAAAAATGGCTACAAAGAAAAGCCTAAATCAGACTGGGAACCTTATTTGTTTAAGCGATATCTGGTAATTGTTGGTGTGCATGACCTTACGTTGTGATAATGGTGGAGACTTTTCAAGTAGAATGTTTAGAGTGAAGCAAGGGAAGACATACTCTGGAATTAAAGAAATAAAGCAGATGTGCCACAGGACAGCGTGCTAGGACCGTTTCTTTACTTTATGCACCTGCAATATCCATCGAGAACAATATATTAAAATAGCGACATTTGCCATAAAAGTAAAGAATAAAAATAAATAAAACTGAATCAGTGCATCTTAACAATAACTAATATTTCGATCAAATACCTAGGGATGACAGTAGATATAGATACGACTTAAATGGAAACAGCACATAAAAAAGCGTGAAGAATCTTAAATTGAAAAAAAAAATGTATTGGCTCCTATGAAGAAAATTTAAGCTATGAGTGTACAGAAAAAGGTTGCTTTATAAACAAAACCTAAAACCAGTCTGGATTTATAGCATAAAGATGTGAGGGTTGTGCCAGCCAGAACAAAATCACAAAAATATATAAGTTTTACAGGTGCGGATGGGTCCACCGGTAAACCAGGATATTTTTCGGTGCGCCGATCCTACAGGCGCCGCCACGCATTTTTCATATATTTTTTGAACAATTTGAGTTATTGCAACTGGCAGGAGGAGTACTATCACCCCTCCTTTGGTCAGTCCTAGTGGACGAACTCTTAAAATGAATCTGTAGACTTCTACTGCCTAGAGCAGTGGTTCTCAAACTTTTTTGGTGACGGAACCTTTTTGAAAAGCGAAATATTTGACGGAGTCCTAAACACATTTTTAAAAAAAAAAGGTCCTCCGAGCATAATCCTCCTTGCTCTAGCCTCTAGCCAGGTCCCTCCCTTTTCTTCGCGGCGGAGCCCCCATAAAAAATTCTCAAAATCATATCCTCCTTCCTTTTAGTGACTTCAAAAAAAAAAGGTCCTCCAATCAAAATCATATACTCAAGCCAAGTTCCGTTGTAGCGATAGTACTGCTTTTGGACTCCACGGACCACACTTTGACGATCGTCTTAAGAGGTAAGTTCACAGGTACAATATCGGAGCGCACACAAACCGCTCTAAAATAAAAAGTGATATGTTAGGTGACTTGAATACGTTTTGGAATTTTATAAATAAAATAAAAAGTAATAAAAGCAATGCAAATTCATTTACTTTTAGTGGAAACTCAGTACCCGAGAAAGATATCTCAAATAAATTTGCAGAGTTTTTGGCATCTGCGCACAATCTTGAAAAGTCTAACTATGATTTAAATAATATAAATATATCAGATCAATATAATTTATTGGTTTTAAAGGAGGTCAATGAGTCGGATTTTGATGAAGCTATAAAAAAATTAAAACCAAAAAAGTGTGCAGGTGTAGATAATATTCCGCCTTATATTGTAAAAGCCTGTGGTCATTTATTAAAAGTTCCTTTACTTCATATATATAATCTTATTCTTGCCAATTCCGAGTTTCCGCTAAAGTGGAAAACGGCGATATATACACCTATTCACAAGTTAGGAAAAAAAAGCGAGATCGAAAATTATAGAGGGATAGCGATTATGTGTGCACCTTCAAAACTATTTGAACAAATTTTATATAACAAATTACTTAATCATGTGCAAAATATCATAGTAGATGAACAGCATGGGTTTATTAGAGGGAGATCTGTTAATAGCAACTTACTTTTATTTGTAGAAAATGCAGCGAAAGCTCTGGAGGACAAAACGCAACTAGATATAATTTATACTGATTTTACTAAAGCTTTCGATCATATTAATCATGATATCTTGCTGCAAAAGTTGTGTAACAATGGTTTATCTATGAATTTGTTAGTATTATTAAAAACGTATTTAGAAAATAGACATTTTATAGTCAAGTTCAATGGAAATACATCAGGTAAGTATGAAGCCAATTCGGGAGTACCAAAGGGATCCAACTTGGGTCCATTGTTGTTTATTTTATTTATAAATGATCTCCCTTCTTATATACAACACTCTAAATATTTATTTTTTGCTGACGATTTTAAAATGTATCAAAGCATAAAAACCGTTAGAGACTCTGTAGCTTTACAAAAAGATATCAATAACATTTATACGTGGAGTGAAAATAATAAGTTAAAATTTAACATTAAGAAATGCTTTATACTTACAATTGACCGTAAGAGAGACAATGTTATTATATTTGACTATAGGATGGACCAACAAATTTTAAGATTTTTTGTCACAGATTGAACGAGGAACTCAAAAGTAATTTTTAATTTGAAATATCTCAGTGGCGTACTATTTTTTTCTTTAAAATAATTGATATCATTACCCGTATGCGCGCCAATGATGAACATAAAGTTCTTAAATGCATGTCAAAAAATGCGCAATAACTACCTCTTAAAGCCCACCAAATTTCATTTGCATATCTCGACGGGATTCAGAGCAATAAGTAAATCATCAGTTTTTAAGAAAAACTTTATTCGGAAAACGAAGCATTTTCAGACATACGTTTATATAGCAAGTTGTCATTATTTCTTCATGCGAAACCACCCTCTGAAGTTTGTCGCACTTATTTACTAACACCCCATATACTTTCAAGGCGACTCCAGGTCTGTCACATACAGACTGCTCAAAGGTCCATCGCCCATAAGCAGCTTGTATGGACGTGGACTATAACGAGCTATATAAAGAGTTAGAGAACGACCAAATAATAGGAATGTCAGTCGAAATGCTCCCAACATATAGCTTTCAAAAGCAATATAAAGTAAGTATACCAGGAATGGTAGAAAATCTACCAGTACAGAGGCAGGCCAAAGAGTTCTTGAAAAGAGCATCACCTAAACTCACCGAGCATCTACTAAGCCATCATAGGAAAAATACTAGAGTACTCGTAGGTCTATTAACAGGGCATTGTAGGCTTAACAATCATATTATGTATAATATCGGTATGATGGAACAGACTTTTGCCGATTCTGTCAGGAAAAAAAGGAAACTTCAGAACACGTAATATGCTACTGCGAAGCTCTATCAAGACTGATATTTCTTACACTTGGAGAAGAAAAACCAAGTGCAACCAGTTACGCAGGAGAACTACTTCCTAGTCTGTGGAGTCTAATACAAAACACCGAACTAGACAAGGTAATCTACACCAGTGTTTCTCAACCGCCGGTCCGCAGGGAATATTTGCCGGTCCGCCAAAAATTCACTGGTAGTATAGCAAAATCCACGCGCAAAAAATTTACGATTTATACCAAATCCACTAATAAACGAACTAAATTTAAGTCTTTAAGGTAAAAACAATACCGTTTTCAACTTCTACAATAAGATTAATGCTTTCAAGAAGAAATTGAAGCTCTGGTACACACGTGTGGAAGAAAACACTTTTGAGATGTTTGCTTCTTTCTTGATTACATTTATGATGATTTATATCAGTTCTGGATAGAGTGCAACAGAATATCCCAATCTTAATACAAAGGCGTTGAAGATTTGATTGCCTTTTTCCCCAATATTTCTGTAACTGTAACGTGTGGAGGGTGGGTTAACCCACGGCATTTAGGCCACATTAGAAATTTCTGTACCTACATGATTGTACTACATATTTGTCTGTATTACCTTTCAATGATTTTTAATTTTATCGCCTCAAATGCCTTTTCAGGATCAATAACCAGTTCCATTATAGTTTCTAATGCGCAAATGACCACATATTCATCTTTATTACTTAGGTCATGTCTTAATTTTGGCATCGCCCATCTTCCAAAACCTATGGGCCTATGTAATAAATCCAAATTTTGTTCTGGTATATTAGGTTGTTCAGAACACAATCTGTTAAATGGTGGTTCCAAATCGTGTACATCTGTGACAAATCCCAGAGCTAAAACAAATAAATTTTTCTCAAATGAATGGATATAATTTTTATGGAAAAAAATATTCACCTCTGTCGACACATCTATTAAGAAGACGTGGACTTAAGTCAGAAAAATAGTTGTGCAAATAAGAATATCTATTGATAGAATACATTTTGTATAAAATATAAAATAGTTGACAAAGTTGAAATATGATTTGTATGTGACAGATTTGAAAGTCGGGTTATTATTTGTATCTATGAAGCTAGTTTACATAGCTGTATCTATGAAGACTAGAGATGTGGGGAAAGCACAGATTGTTCTTTCTTCTGTGGTGAAAGCGAAAGGCTTCAAAAAAGGAGGAAGTTCTCAATTCATCGGAATATTTTTTTTATATACTATATTGTTCGATTTTAATGATTCCTTTTTTGTTCAGTGGTGATACCATATAAATTTGGTCAAGATCTAATAATTGTGTCCAAGAGAAAATCATCAAACTCTTCATTTTGTATGTTCGGCGATAATTCTTTAGCACGTTGTTTTTTTTATGATTTATGATTCACTGAAGTCGGTTTTTTAAAATTACTTTTATAACTGGTTTTAATTGACCTACAACGTTATTGATGATCTCTATTACTCATGCGCCAATTCTACTTCCTTAAAAAAATCATTAAAATTTGATGTTGTTATGTTTCCTACCCTGAGTTCCAATCACATATCACATATCCGCAAATGGCATTTTGTTTCTGCGTTTGATAGGGAGTATTTGTTAACCGACTTAAAAAAAAGGAGGAGGTTCTCAATTCGTCAGAATATATTTTTTTATATATCGATGGCTCAATCAAATACTGCCACAACTAAAATACTTTTGTTTCGAGAAATTTCATTCTTAAATTTTGTAAGTCTATTATCATTATTTTGTTATTGACATAAAATCTTTATATTTTATTTAAAAGCTTCGATATTTTGCTGTTAAAATTAACGATTACGATAATAAAAGCGAGTTATTACATAGTATGTAAAAAATTTGGGTGTTTTTGCAGAAAATAACTCGAATTGAGGCAGTTTTAGACACAGTTTGTGGCTAGATTTTAAATGATTTTCGGGCACCTTTAAAGATATTTTTGTTTGTGGCGGTATATAAAGTAAAACTCCAATGATATTTTGCATCTATTGAACCAAAAATATAATTTTCTCTGTTTTTGGACTTGTGGCGGTTTTTGATTGAGCCATCGATATATTAAGCAATAATTCTATACCACGTTGTGCGATTTCTATGATTCTTTTTTTATTACAAGTGGGATACTTTAGGAGTTGGTCCCATATGAGTTTATGTAAGGTTCCAAGATTATTGTTGGAGCAAACCTACGATTTTCCTAAAATGGACCGTATTCGAGTGAGGTAAGATGTAAAATTTTAATTTTCCTCATTATTTTCACTTATAATACCACTACCTAAATTATTTCCGAATATTTAAAAAATCATTCCGATATCATTATATAATTTTTGTTCTATACATGATTTCTCTAAAATGGACGATAATGGAAAGAAGTGTTAAATTTTAATTCTTAAGTATTTTCGTTGGCAATAAATATATATTATAAAACATGTTTGTGAGAAAATGTATGTATTTAGTTTATCCTCTACACATTTACAGGGGTGATAAAATAGGTAGTACAGAATAACCGGAAAAAGCATATAACTTTAGGTAAGTCATGTAGTGGACACATAAGACTTTTTCTATAAACTCGTAATGTAAATATTTGAAAGTTTCTAGCTTGCACTTTTATATTAACATTTTATATATCGATTTTTTGAAGACGTCGTCATAGAGTTCTCCACCGCTGGTGCGTCTACAATAAACTATGTCCATCTGCTGCAGGGTAAGAATTAACTATAAATATATAATTTATCAAATGTGTACCACTAGCCACTACCACTGGCTCTTCTACTAGGTGGAGATGGGTAAAAATTCATCGACTTGGTAGGGAGAGGAGATGACGTACCATACAACTATCCAAAATAATGTGGTAATACTAGACTGACATTAGGATGGCTCTCCTACTATGTGGAGATGAAATCATTGAATTGATGGGGAGACGAGATAATATATCATACAACTATCCAAAATAATGTGGTAATACTAGACTAACATTAGGATGGTAACAAGATGACAACTTGAGTAAGTTCGGATTTTTTGTGATGTTTAAAGTGATAGTAGTGGTAGTGGTAGTAATTTTGATATTTATAACTCAATGAATACTTACGTGATAAATCAAACACAAATAATAATAATAATAATAATAATAATAATAATAATAATAATAATAATAATAATAATAATAATAATAATAATAATAATAATAATAATAATAATAATAATAATAATAATAATAATAATATTAATAATAATAATAATAATAATAATAATAATAATAATAATAATAATAATAATAATAATAATAATAATAATAATAATAATAATAATAATAATAATAATAATAATAATAATAATAATAATAATATTAATAATAATAATAATAATAATAATAATAATAATAATAATAATAATAATAATAATAATAATAATAATAATAATAATAATAATAATAATAATAATAATAATAATAATAATAATAATAATAATAATAATAATAATAATAATAATAATAATAATAATAATAATAATAATAATAATAATAATAATAATAATAATAATAATAATAATAATAATAATAATAATAATAATAATAATAATAATAATAATAATAATAATAATAATAATAATAATAATAATAATAATAATAATAATAATAATAATAATAATAATAATACTCTCCCTAATTCACCCCCTTACGAGTGAATTTTAACCCCAAAAGCTGAGCTTGTGCGGGGAAAGGGACGGCTATTAATATTTGCCGTGGCGCTCCGGGGCGACTTAAAGATGATTGATGGTGCCATTTGACTTACAGGTGAGAAAAACCCGGAAAACCTTACCCACCATCATCGAGATGGTAATGTATGGCGATTTTTTTTAATCTGCATGTCATATCAACAGAAATTGAATTTCTATTAATACGGCACACATCAAATCCTATACCGAACCATGCAATTTACTTAAAAATCCAAATGGTCTGGTCTGGGATTTGAAGCCCAGCAGTCTTTGACACATAAACTTGCTTATAAATGAATATAAGCGCGTTAGACCGCTACACCACCGACCCGACGAAATTAAATCACAAAAGAAAATTTGTATCAATATTTATATGGAGTTTTCTAATTTGAAGATATTTATATAAGCAGGTAGGAAATGCACAATTAGAGATAACATTTAAAACGTATTTTTCGAATACTAAGTGGGCTTTTACACCAAAGTAGCATGCAACGTGCGACTTGCTGCCAGAAAGCTGGAAGCACGTCGCAACTGGCGTCTTCACGATTTACTTTCATACCAAAGTGCGAATTTTTTTATCATCAGACCTCCGTTGGCAAATAATAAAATAATTGTCAAGATGTCGTCGGAAGAAGACAATATTGCGTTAATTGCTGCTGTGATTTCAAGTAGGAGAAAAAGGAAAAAGATAAGAAAACTGTGGATTATTCCGTATTTACGAGATAATGCGCTAATACACATAGCACGTTTATTGTGTCGCAGCAGTTACAAGTACATTCTCAAAAATTCCAAAACTTCTACAGGATGGAAAAGGAAACATTTAAAAAGCTTGTTGATCTAATGAAATGCAGTTACAGGATATAAATTATGGAAGAGCTATTGCTGTGGAGGAAAGACTACTTATATTATTTTTGAGGTAAGTACCTAATAAGTTAATAAATGCATGAGAATAAAAGGCAAGAAAATACTCAAACATTAATTTATTATTTACTTACAAAAAATATACGGAGTGGCCCAAAAGTCTGGAAACGGCCAATTATCTCGTAAATTGCTAATCCTAATTGTACAAAATTTGGGGTACACCTATTTTGCTATACGGAGATTCCATATGTAACACTTATGATTTTATGTAGTCTGGAAGGTCTAAAATAAATAAAACAATGTGGAAAAATGTGATAGACGCATTCTACCATCCATTAAGGTACTGTCAACTCACAAATGGAGCATATTTTGAACACTTGATAAAGTAAACATGTCTAAAATGTTATATTCTTTCAATTGCTACGTTTTGATGTAGTTGAAAATAGTTTATATTAAAAAATTTATTGAGACAATTAGGCGTTGCCAGACTTATTTTATTTCAAAAAAAATTTGGAAATTTTTTTTCAAAAAAAATGTAATTTTGGGTTTTTATGTATAAAAAATCGTAGACTTCAACTGTTTTTGGGGATGCCACCCTCACCATATCATAGAGGGGTGGAGAGGGGTGAATTTTTTTAAAGCGATTTTTATTTTTATGGGATAATACATCACTATACCAAGCTTAAATTCAATATTTCGATCCTAAATGCCCTATCCCCCAGAGCCTAACCCCAACCAATAATCTTTATAGAACCCATTGTGTTTACTTCAATATTAAGAATTCATTTATATTATTTACCAACCATCTTAAGGGTTTTTTTAATTACATTGTTACGCACCAGATTAAAGAAATAATCTGTTGTTTATAATTACTTATGCTAAGTACTTACGTAGGTACCTTACAATATACAATTTTTCTCAACACTTAAGAAATGTAATATTATTGCTATTATTAATATTATATAGTTTATTTTAAATTAATTCGGATAAAACCTGTAAAGGAAAAGAAAAACAGAAGCATATTTTCTATTTTATTAATTTCAAAACAGTTATAAATACACAAATTTTTAATTCTAATTTTAAAACAATAATTAATAGTTAACTAATTTATTATATATCATTAAGAATGGGACATAGTACAACTGAAGATTATTTGATTAAAAATAAAACTATTAAACGAAATATACTTAGAAAAAAATACCCGTTTTCGAAATACAGGGTGTTAAAGTTGAAAATTTAAAAATTATTAATGCCTATAATATTTTTATTTTTCAGTATCATTTTACTGAATTCGGTAAACATTTTTGACACTTTCCAAAAACTAATTTAAACTATAATTTACATTTTTTATATATAAATCATGTAGGTACTCCTGTTGGGAACTCGTCCTTTATTAACAGTAAAATAATTCAGTAATAAAACATAAACACAACTCATTCACAATACCTACTACCCGTAAACGCACTAACGCACAATAACACACATTAGATAGAAAATAGTCCAAACAATGAATCA